CCGAGTGGCCGTGCGGCTGTGGGGGGGGCACAGTGCTCTCCGGCCTCAGCGGCTCCATGTGGACGCTTGGGGGCAGCTCCCCCCCTTTGTTCCCTCAGCCAGTGGGGCAGCGAGCGGGCGGGCGGTGGGCCCTGCCTTGCCCGCCTTCGGGCTCGTGAGGGTGGAATCGGGGTGTACTCTGTCTTTCCTCTTTCTGGGACCCCTCTGCCCATTGTCTCATCCGCGAGGCCCATCCTGTGGTCCTGGGAGGGTAGCGCCTTCTTCCTGGCTGTATAGTGCTCCACCGGGGACACACCTCATGCTCCTCGCCTCTTTTGTGCTCAGGGGCACCTGGTTTCTGGGGTTTTAAAACGTGACCTTTGGGGCGGCGGGGACGTGCCTGTGCGTGTCTCGGGGTGCGTGGTCCTGCCTTCCTGTGGCATTTTATCTGGAGATAAGACACCCACAACCTCCCTTCCCAGGAGACAAGCTCTTGGACCCAGGGCCTCAGGCTCCACACATCTTCGTCCCCCCATCACAATCAAAGGTGATCCAGGCAATTAGATAAGCCAGACGCCCTAAAGCTATAAATTAATTAGCACTTCCAAACCTGGGCGGTCCTCGCGGGCTGTTTGGTAATAAAATAGAAGGAAGTGCAGGCCTGGGTGCTGGCACAACGCCAGGTGGGCTATCTGTCCGCAGCCGGGGCGGGAGCCAGGAGACAGCCGGCACAGGTGATGGCAACCTGGCCCCACCCACTGCGCTCCCCCAGCCCTGGGGGCGTGGCCATGGGGTCTGGTGGAGATGCACCACCTTCAAGGGCCGGGCTTGGGGACTGCCTCCCTCACCAACAGCCCCCGCGCTGCGCCCCCTGTGAGAAGGGGGTCCCGGCGTTCGCTCCACGGTACAGATGGGAAGATGGGACATGGGTCGTCCAGATGGCGGGACAGCGCCCTCGGGTGTGCGCGGTGGCATCACAAGTGCCGGGAGGTGGCTGTGGAGACCAGGGACCCACACGGGGGAGGAGGGTCTGTTACCTGTGCTCTGTCTGTCTGTCTGTCTGACCGTCTCCAGGAGAGTGTCTGTTGGTGCTTCGAGGCTCGAGCAGCTTTCCAACGCGCATCTTCTCTCTTTGTTAATCTTCACGCAGGGAAATGTTTCCCTTTGATTTTCAGAGATCATGGAAGGGAGGGTCGAGCAGCTTTCCAACGCGCATCTTCTCTCTTTTTGTTAATCTTCACGCAGGGAAATTTTTCCCTTTGATTTTCAGAGAGAGTGGAAGGGAGGCGGAGAGGCAGAGAGCGAGAGGGAGACATCGATGTGAGAGACGCGTCGATAGATCGCCTCCCGCCTGCCCTCCAGCCGGGGCTGGACATTGGACCTGCCACCCAGCACCCGCTGGTGAGCTGGCTGGCCTCTAACCACTGAGCACACCAGCCTGGGCCTCCTCGGGAGGTTTGAGAGGCCAGCTCCATCTTTTCCGCGGGCACTCCCTGTCCGGCGGCACCGCCGTTGTCCTGACCTTGTCCTGACCTCGGGTGGATGTGCCAGGGTTGCCTCGCGGGTCAGCTGGTGGAGACGTCTGACCTCACGTTTCTGGGTGGGAATTTCCCGCTCAGGAGCCGGGTCAGGCCCCGCTCACACCCGCTGGCGTCCCTCCCGCAGACCGGCCGCCGGGCGAGAGCAAAGGTGTGTCTCTTCCCTCCCGTGGGCATCGGGAGACCTGGCTGCGGGCGTGCACACCGGAGCCCCTGTGATCCTGGCGGCTTGGCGATGCTCCCTCCGCCACCCCCTTCCCCCCGAAGGTCCAATCTGGCTTCGATTCACCTTTGTAGCCTCAGCTCCCTCCACACCGCCTGCTCCCCGTGCCCCTCCCGCCTCCTGCACCTGCCCCTGCCCCCCTTCCTCCTGGAATGCCGCCGCCCTCCACCCTCCATCCTCCGCCTGGCGCCTCCTCGTCCTTCCTCAGAAGGTGCCTGCGCCCCCGCCCCTGGCACAGAGCGCGCCCCCTGCTGGCTTCCAGACCGAACGGAGGGACCCTCTCTGTCTCATCATTGTCGTTTGCATCGTGTCATCGTCGCAGCACGCTCGCAGGGGGTGGCTGCGTGTCCTCGTCCCGCTCCCCGTGTCTGGCTCTGGGACTGGCGTGAGCCTCGGGACGTGCCAGCGCCTCTGCCCGTCTGACACCCCCTCTGCCTTCCAGACGCGCCCCTGTTCCTCTCCCACCCGCACTTCTACAACGCTGACCCCGCCCTGGCCGAGGCCGTGCTGGGCCTGCACCCCAGCGAGAAGGAGCACTCCCTCTTCCTGGACATCCACCCGGTGAGCAGCCACTGGCAGCCTGAGGGGGGCTTCTGGGGGGATT